ATGCCTTGCTTCCCTAACTAGAATGTAAACTCAAACTTCCTTGAGGACAAAGATCAGATCCTATATTTATATATACTATTGTTTTAGTCCATTTTTTTGTTCCTCATAACAGAATACTTGAAACTGGGTGCTTTATAAAGACAAGGAATTTATTTCTTGCATTTATGGAGGGTGGGAAGTCCAAGGCTGAGGGCCTTTTTGCTGGGGGTGGGGGGGGTCGGCTCTGTAGCATCCTGCGGTGGTTCAGGGAAACACTTAGAGAAGGAGCTGAGCATGCTAATATGCTAGCTCAGGTCTCTCCATCTCTTCTTATAAAGCCACTAGTTCCCCTCCCATGATAACCCATTAATCCATTAATGGATCAATCCTATTGTTAAGTGCAGAGCCTTCATGATTCAATCACCTCTTCAAGGTTCCATCTCTCAATATTGCCACATTGCTGATTAAGTTTCAAAATGAGTTTTGCAGGGGGTATTTAAACTATACCAACTATATAAAATATATTTATATATATATATATTTTTTATTCCAGGATATTGTGTATTTTTATATATTTTAACCCCAGAACCTAGAGCAATATTTGGTACTAACTAGAAACTTAATAAATACTAGTTGACTGAATTAATAAATAAGTAGATCATCATATAATAATACTCTTCTTCATGCATCCTCTTCTTACCTAACCCAGGGCTGGGGAATATTTTCATGTTGGAAGCCTGCTTTAATTTAGCTGTAATCCAATAAGACTGCATTCAAGAAACTTTAACTAGATATACTTAAAAATGTGCATTATTTTGTAGAAATCTAACTACTAAGTACTTAATAATTTTTAAAAATGAAAACTGTTTGTTAATTTTAAAGTGAACTAACCTTCTAATCACTTTGTTATGTCTGCTTTTTGTTGGAAAGCATTTGAATATTTGGTTGCAGCATGGAGGTCCACAGTTTCAGTTGGTCCTCTAGATGGGTGTCAGTCATCTGTAACGTTAAGGGCAGTGATGATTTGGGTTAGTTGGGAGAATTTAGATTCTCAGCAGTAAGTGGTTGAAAAGCAAGAAAGCATTTTTTAGGCATGTTGCTGAAGGCGTGGGTATTCTACTGCATTTTTCCATATTTCAATTGGATCTTTCTTAACGTCAAACAATGACTTTAAAATGTCATCTACTACTGAGAGCTCAATCAATTCTATCTATAGTTCTTTAGGTGCCTTGGTGATATCAAGTAAGTGAGGCCAAAACGCTAATTTGAGTGTGATGTCATGATTCTCAAAGTCAGTGAACCTTTCATTGTATTCTCCAATTAATAGGTCTACAACAGCTGTGTATTCTTCAAATGATTTACATATATCATCCCGTTCATCAATGACCTTCGTTAACTGGGGAAAATGTTCATCCAAATTTCCTTTTGAAGAAGTGTTTTGAAAGAAAGACAGCTTTTTTCAAAATGCTTGGATTTTTTTGCCACATATCATATATAGACCTAGTTTTACCTTGCAAAGAAATATTCAAGTCATTTTGATTTCACATGATATCACACAGAAATGCTGCATCCCTATAGAAATCTTCTTTCAATAATTCACATTGCTGATTATGTTCTTATAACACTTAACTATCTATTCTCATAGAGATAAAATTTTGGTTAACATCTGTCCCTGCAATAGCCAATGCACTTTAGAATGATACAACAAATCCACACTGAATACCTCATTGTTCAACTTTAGCCTGTAATGAAACTGACAATGCTGTGTTGCATTTGCTTCAAAATGTTAATAGTTAACAATGCTTATAACTTGTTGCAAAGTATCACTTAAAATAGTATCTTTAACACAGAAAGGTTTCTGATGCAAGATACAATGAAAAGAAATGAGAACATCTGGACCTGTTAACACTTTTTTTTTTTTGAGACAGAGTTTCACTCTTTCTGTTGCCCTGGCTAGAATGCAGTTGCATCATCATAGTTCACCGCAACGTCAAACTCCTGGGCTCAAGGAATCCTCCTGCCTCAGCCTCCCGAGGAGCTGGGACTACATGTGTGCACCAACATGCCCAGCCAATTTTTTCTATTTTTTTTCATAGAGACAGGGTCTTGCTCTTGCTCTGGCTGGTCTTGAATTCCTGAGCTCAAGTGATCCTCCTGCCTTGGCCTCCCAAAGTGCTAGGATTACAGGTGTGAGCCACCATGTCCAGCCTTGTTAATATATTTTTTTTAAATCGGTGCAATAAACTCTTCATGTTTTCCTTTCATGGAAGGTGCACTATCTATACATACACTTATTAAATTTACCAAATTCAGTCCAACTTCACAACATTTATCTTGAAAGTTGTTGAAGATATCTATTCCCCATGTTCTGTTTGCAAGAGTGCCCAAAGCAAGTAACTCTTCATAGCAAAGAAAACCTTCTGTTATGACCCAAATGAAGAATAAAACCTCTGCGGAGTTAGTAGTATCAGTTGATTTATCCAAAGTGATTGAATAATATGCATTTTCCTTCGAAGTACTGCATGAAGTTGTCCTCTTAAATTGAAGCCTAATTCGTGCTGCTGATCAGTTATGGTTCTTCTTGAAAGAGGCAGTTTGTATTACTTTGAAACATTTTCAGGGTCTAAGTATCCTACAACTTCAACAATGCTTTCTTTCACAATTTCTACATCACTGAATGGTTTCCCTTTTTTCCCTGAGTATATAAGCTACTTTATTAGTTGCTTCAGTGGGATTATTTCCAAGTCTTATTGTTGCTTGAAAGAATTATCTTTGCTTTTGCTTTTCATCTTTCAATTTTTGCAATATGACCTTTCATGCCTCTCTCTCTAATTTAAAATATTTGTGGTCCTTATGAGTGTTATAATGCTGATGAACATTGAATTTCTTTAATGTTGATATTGCAGTATGACAAAGCAAGCAAATCATCCTATCTATAGCAGAAACAAGATAATATTGCAATTCTCAATCCTTATTTAAAAATCTGTTCTTTTCCTTTAGCATTCTCTTGGTCTTCTTCGACATGACAGGCTATTAAGCAGACAGAATTAAAAAATACCGTGGAGCTATGCAGCTATTCACAAATTCCACTTCAAACAGAAACACAGTGCACCGTTGTCAAAGGCTGATAACAGACTGGTGTATTCAACCCCCCATAAACTCACTGGTAGTGGTGCCAGTGAGATAGGGGAAGTTAGAATTAAACCATGAACGTAGCAGCTGTCTATTTAGCCCCTCTGGCTTACTAATGTTCTAATTGTCCCAGTCAATCTGGGAGGATTATTTCGTTGAAAGTTATTTTATTCTTTGGTATTTTAGATACGTTCATTTCAAAAATAAAATAAAAATATAAAAGATGAACAAAAATGTATTAATACAAATAAAAGGATTTGTTCTGTAAAATGTGGATTCAGTCAAAAGGCTGCACTTGAGGACCTAGATGGCCACAAGTGGCCTTAAAGCTTCAGGTTCCCCACCCTCCTGGCCTGACTATTCAGTATCAATCTGAATTGAACCAGGGGCAGCTCTGCCAGTTAGGGCCTTTTCACTTGCAAACTATTCCTCTGCTTTCCCTTCTTGTCATTTCTCCCCTTCACCTCAACCAAGTCTTTTCGGTTTACAGTTCGGGTTCATTTCCCTTTCTGCAGAAAGCCTTCCTTGACTCAGCTCTTTATCCTCCACCAGTCTAAGAGACATGCCTCTCTGGGTTCCAATAACACCCTGACCTTACTCCACAGAAGACAATATTATCAAGAGTAGGCAATATTAGCAAGTGGGGGGGGGGGCTGCAGCCAAGTTGCATGGATTTGAATCATGCCATGTGACTTACTACTAGCCCTGTGACATTGAGGACTTTAATTTCATATTATTTCTCTTTCCCGTTATGTAAAGCAGAGCTAATAATATAATAGGGTTTTTGGAAGATGAAATAAAATTGTGTAGGCCAAGTGCTCAGAACAGTATCTGGCACACGATAAGAACATACCATTTTTTGCTACTATTCTTACACAATAATTTCCTGATAACTTGCCTCTTCCCTATTTTACATTGAAAATTCCTTAAAAGCAGATATACTGTCTTGTTCACCCTTGATTCCCCAGCATCTGACACATAGCTGGGTGTTTTATTTACTGAATTATTTTTCCTACTCTCACTCTTTCCCTCCAAGCCAACCTCCCCATGGCTCCAAACAAAGCTCTGTGTTTTTCTGCTGCTTAAAATCTTCTTCAGTTTGGCCTCAACTCTTGACCATCAATGACCAACACTCTGTAGACTGCTTGTCTTTCTCTGAACGTGAAGTTATCTTGTTTCCTTTCTTCCGAATTTTCTTTCCCTTGTAACTTACTGTGCAGTGAAGCAACATTACATCTTCATTTTTTTGGACAATGAACCTTATGCAAGTTTCTCTTATGGACTTTACCACATTATGCAGTTACATAACTGTTGGTCCACTTCTGTAGTTTCCTCCATGATGTGTTTAAATCAACAGTGTAAGGTAGGGTCTCAATAAACGTTTAAATTTTTATGTGAATTCCAAAGCCATATTAAAATACAGTATAATTCCTTTCCCCAATTAAAAACAAAATTTTCAAACAAAACAAGCAGGCTTTCGTGACTACAGGTGAGTCGGATGCATGCTGCACTACCTTTGGGTAAGCCTGGGACCCCAACTAAGAAAGTACATCTGGTACACAGAAGGGACTAGCCCAAACCTGTCCCAAGTAAGACCCGGATTTCTAGAACTAAATCAGGAGTCCTGTAGAGCGACAGGCAACATGTTTGCCTCCAGCTGAGAAAGCCTGCCAGGGTCTCCACTGCGTTTCAGATGGGAAAACTGCGCCATGTGCGCGTACGCAGCACAGCACGCCATCCACAAACAACCTGAACAACCTAATCACGGAAACTAAGACTGTTCCAAGGGCGTCTGGGCTGCGGGGGGGGCGGGGCGACGTGATGACGTCACGTCACGTTCCCTTGGCCTCCCCGCCTCTCTCCGCACTGTGACGTTCCCAGAGAGGAACGAAGCGTAAACAGCGCAGGGCATTTCGGGAGCAGGATTGTTTCACGCAGGAAGCAGGCTCCATTTTAGCGCCTCCCGCCGTCGCCATCTGTTTCCCTTCCCTCCCCCTTACCCTCGCCCGTGGCTGAGTCCCAACGGGAAGGCTGGGCCTAGGTTTGTGGAGGCTGGAGTGAAAGGAAGGAAGGGAGAAAGGGAAGAAACGGGAAGAGTCGAGAAGGGTGAGCGTTCGAGGCCAAGTGCGAAGCGCGCAGCCGGGCGGCCGGACTGACGGACGGGCCTGTGCTGCTGCTGCCGCGGCTGCAGCGCCCGCGCGAGTCGCATCTCAGCGGCGGCGGCGGCGGCGGCGGCAGCGGAAACCGGAGGGGAGCAATGGCGGCGGACAGCCGGGAGGAAAAAGGTTAGTGCGGAGAAAGGTGACGGGCGGAGGCGGGGCTCGGGAGTGGGGTGGTGGAGCGGTGGTCGTTTGTGCGGGGCGGGGCTGGGGGTTGGGGGGTTTAGCGTGCCTCGCGCCGAGCCGGCCGCCCCCACGAAGACGCTTGGACTCATTGGCAGAGACCAGGCCCGTCCTTTCGTCCTCCGTCTCCATATGGCCTAGTATTTCTTCTCGCCTGGGGTTTTCCTTTGATCCGGATTTCACGCTTGACTTTCCGTTTAGCTGTCCTGGGCGCGGCTGGGAGAGGGCCTATTCTGAGTTGCAGGCCCCTAGATTTATTTCCTGGTAAGATTATGCGGATGTAATGCGCATTTTCAGGACAACCTTTTTTTTTGTTATGCTAAATTTTGGAAGCCTTTAATGTCGCGATCAACGCTTTTAGTGTGCTGAGTGAGCATGTTTAAGCAGTGGTACAGGTAGATTATTAATCTCTAGAAATACCTACAAGTAACTTCTGGCTGTTCCTGTTAAATTGGCAAAGTGACAAGAATTGCCCATTTTGTTACTCGAATACTTATTTTGGAAAGCATGGTATTTGAAAAGAATTGTGACTTAGTGCTGGCAGAAAAATCCTGGCTACTATTCTGCTAGATAACATACACGTTGTGTGTAGCTGCCGAAGTGTGCAAGTTATGGAGAGAGTTGGAGGAATAAAATTTCAATGAAATATAGGAAGAACTGATGTTATTCGAATGGGATGTCTTGTCTTTTGAATTACCGAGCTCCTGGGCCCTAGAGATGTTAATGTAGATCCTGGATCAATATCTGTCTGGAGCGTGGTCTAAATTAGATGCTACCTAAAGATCTATTTCAACGCTAAGGTGAACATGATAGTCTTGGGAAAGTATAGTTGATGAAAATATGACACAGTTGCTGCCTTGTATCTCACAGATCTCATCCGTATGGCTAATTAATTTGGAGGGAGGGTTTGTTAAGTGGGCTCTAGGGTCAAGTTGCATTAGGCCTGTAATCTTTTTTTCTTCAGTTTTTCTGATTTCTCCATCAGGAGAGTCTTCATGCTTCAGTGACCTGCTCTAGGATAGGAGCAAGCTTGTGAAGTGGAATGGTTGGGAATATGCTTAAGATATTGCCCTTATCCTAAAGCAGTCCGTTGATTGGGTTGTTGCAGTTTTCTTTCCGTGCTTAAACTGAATCCTAAAAATCTCCCCCACCCCCTTTTTTTTTTTTGAGAAATCCCGAAGGAATGTGGATGTAGGGTTGTATGGTGTTAGTGAATAAAGGAAAATGCTTTTAATTAGTAGTAAGCTTAGTTATTAAAATACATGATCTTAATAAGAATTCAGTAGTAAACATTTGATTGTGTAATTTATGAGCCGTGTGTATGGGAGTCTAGTGATTGTGATAGGCGAGATGAACCAAATACAAAAACGAGTGACATTCATTACTTCTCAAGAATATATTGTCTGTTACGATGAACATACGTAGAAGTCAGGTAATAACCGTAGATGCAATAATACACATCAAAGAAGAAAACTAGATTTAAAAGTATTGTTTTTGACATGGATTTAGTGATGATAATGCACTCCAAGTGCATAAACTTTGCAACTATTATTGGGAAGTGGTAATGTCACCTATTAGTAATACATAGGATAGATTTTCCAACTTTTGAAAGGGTTTTTTTTTTTTTTTGCTTCATATTTGTTTAGTTTTTTAAAAAACTTAATTTCCATAACTGAACTTCTCTATTTCAAAAATTATGACATGGGCTGGGCGCAGTGGCTCACACTTGTAATCCTAGCACTCTGGGAGGCTGAGGTGGGAGGATTGCTTGAGGTCAGGAGTTCGAGACCAGCCTGAGCAAGAGCTAGGCCCTGTCTCTACAAAAAAAAATAGAAAAAATTAACCAGGCACAGTGGTGTGCACCTGTGGTCCTTGCTGCTTGGGGGCAGAGGCAGGAGGATTGCTTGAGCCAAGGGAGTGTGAGGTTGCAGTCAACTATGACGACTCCACTGTACTCTAGCCCAGGAGACAGTGAGGCCCTGTCTCAAAAAAAAAATAAATAAATAAAAGTTCTGATATAAGTGCTTTTCGTTATAGTTTAGAACAGAAATTGTCTCTGGGCTGCATGGAAAGCTAGCAAATACCTACTGGAGTTGGTTTATTTAATTTTGGAAGAGTTCTGGAATAACCCAAAGGGTGTATTACTTGCTTTGAGCACTGTCGTTCCCCTAGAATTGTAGAATCGGAATCAGTACTTGACAACTCCTCTCTTAAATCAGTGGGAATGTAAGCAGTTTATTCTCATCAGTTATTTTATATGAAACATTAGGAAATTATAAAGATAAACACTGTTAGAATCGTAGTCATGTCACAAAGCTTAAGTCCCTTCTTAATTGGTTAATATGAAATGTCTGATTTCCTTAAGTCTTGACAGTTGATATCTCTGACATTTCACTTTGACACTTCTTGTTTTACCTTTATTGTGAAGATACATCCTCAGTCTCACAAATGCACGTTTTGGCTTATGAGTATCTTTCAAATTTTTTTTTTTTGGAGCAATTTTTGTGAAACCATGGATAAGTCAAAAATTCATGTTATTTTTGAATATGAGTTCCATTGTGGAACCAATGTAGCACAGACAGCTCAAAATGTCAACGAAGTGTTGGGGAGGATGTGGCTAATGAACACACAGTACATCAGTGATTTGAGAAGTTCTGTTCTTGTGATTTTAAACTTGAAATGGAGCCGTGTGAGTGACCTGAGTCCAAGGTGGATAATGATGAGCTGAAAGCTGTAGCAGAAGCGAATCCTTCTCATCCTTTGTGTGAATTAGTAGCAAGGTTTGATGTTACTGTCCCAGCAATATTGGACCATTTGAAACAAATCTGCAAATTAAAGAAGCTTGATAGATCAGCTTTGATAGATCAAATAGATGGGTACCACATGAATTAAATGAGGGTCGGAAGAGAGGCTATCTTGAAGCTTACCTTTCTGTGCTGTCACAACATAAAGGCAAACTGTTTCTGTACAGTATCATTATGTGTGATGGAAAATGGATTCTTTTTGACAATAGTAAGCGTTGGGCAAATTGGTTGGTTAAAGATGGAGTGCCAAAACACGGTCCCAAAACGAATATTCATCCAAAAAAGCTAATGATGTCTGTTTGGTGGTCCAGCACTGGTGTTATCTACTGTAGCTTCATGAAACCTGGTCAATCGATCTACTGCAACCAGTTGGATGAAATGATAAGGATGCTTGCAATTAAGCAGCCGAGATTAGTTGATAGAGACAGGCCAGTCCTCTTGCAAGGCAACACTGGACCACGTGTCTCACAAACAACAGTGCTCAAACTACAGAAGCTGGACTTGGAAACTCTGTCATCCACTGTATTCACCAGAGCTTGCACCAGCTGACTACCAGTTCTTCCAGGCTTTGGACCACTTCTTGCAAGAAAAAATTTTCCATTCTCAGCAAGCTGTGGAAAACACCTTTCTCAATTTCATCACCACTTGCTGTCTAGGCTTCTTTGCTGCTGGTGTAAACAAGCTACCATTAAGATGGCAAAACTCTGTCAATAGTTTAGGCACAGACTTTGATTAATTGTACTGCTTGTTTGAGGTATAATAAATCACACTTTTGATTCAGAATTGGACATTTCAAATTTAATGACCTAATAAGGTAAAAGATCTTGGTAAGAAATGAGTCTAAGTTGGAGAAATTTGCAATTATATTAATTACGGAGCAGTCAAACTCTTGTTGATAGAGTTCTTGAATTATTGGGTTTTACATGTGAGCTGTGTAATATGCAGACATAAACTTCCATAAAGCTTTTATAATACTCAGAAGCTGAAGCCTGTGTAATTGGACAGATTGCCAGCTCCCTGTGATTCTTGTGGTGATTATTTGTCCAAAAAGTAGATTTGAAAGATGTTAGAATGCTAGTATTAACTAATGTTAAATGCCATTTTTCTATATAGGGAAGAAATGCACATCTTTACTGTTGTTATAAATACCTTGTATAAATTTTATTTCTTAAGCTCTTACAAAGTTCTCTGTAAAGAACAGTTACAAAAGTTTCCAAAGTTATCCAAAGTGTATATAATGAATTACTATTTTCAAAATAACATGCTTTTCTACCTTATCAGACTGGAAGCTCCATGAGGGCCAGGAGTGTGCGTGTCTTGTTTATCAGGGGGTTTCTGGCGTACAGTAATTTTATCTCAATGTCATGAATATTTGCAAGGTTGGACTTCGTTAATAACTGACTATGCAATATGACATCCAAAGCTAAGAGTTTCTCAGTTTAAGTTATACAGTAGTCCCCCTGCCCAGTCCTTGGCAGATATGTTCCAATACCCACAGTGGATTCCTGAAACCATGAATGTTACAGAACCCACCCTGTATATACTGTTTTTTCCTGTACATACACACCTATGATAAAGTTTAATTGATAGATTAGGCACAGTTAGAGATTAACAACAGCAATAATAAAATAGAACAATTATAACTATAACAACATGCCAGCATTCCTACTCTTGTATTTTGGGGACCATTATTAAGTAAAACAAGGGTTACTTAAACATAAGCACTCTGATAACATGATCGTTGACCTGCTAACGGAGATGGCTACTAAGTGACTGATGGCAGGTAGCATATATGGTGTGGATACACTGGACAAAGAGATGATGCCTATCTCTGGTAGGGCAGCGTGGGACAATACGAGAATGCTAGTCAGAACGGCATATAATTTAATACTTATGGGTTATTTATTTTCGAAATTTTTTATTTAATATTTTTTGACCATGGGTAACCTCAACCTTGGAAAGCAAAACGGCAGATGACGGGGGGACTACTGTGTACACACACACACACACACACACACACACACACACAGTTATATGCGTACATACGTACACAGGTGTTGCTTAACCATGGGGATACATTCTGAGAAAGGCGTTAAACAGTTTCATTGTGTGATCCTCATAGAGTGTGCTTATGCAAAC